CTATATGCTATAAGCATGTATGGAACTTTAAAGTTAGGAAAAACTATATGTCATATATTATGTCTGCATTGTCATATGGAACCGTTTTGTTTTACCCATGTTTTACACTTCTTGATCATCAACGCGTTCAAAAAATAGAAAACAACTGTTGTAGATTTGTGTATGGGTTATGGAAATATGACCACGCGTCCCCTAAAATTAAATTGTTGGAGTGCTTGAGAATGAACAATTTATGTGAATACCTATTCGCTGTGCTAATATACAAGATCTTAAGGTCTTCTGGCCATACTTAAAAGTTAAGCTAGTTTTTCGCTGTGAAACCCACAATATAAATATTAGGAAGAATACACTAACTGTGTCTCAACTAGGGATGTTCCGTTACCATTAAAGTATCGATACCTATTCATTTCGATAGTACTCAAATCTTTTTTCGATACAAGTCAAATAAATACTCCTAAAGTATCGATACTTACTCATATCGATACTTTTAGCACTTTATTATTATTTACTATTTAACAACGAACGTTGAAATACAATGATTAAAACAAAATTAAAACGTTTGGGTCCCGTTAAGCATGTACTTTAAAACAAAAAACTCCACGATAACATTGGCATAATAAGCCGGTGATTACAATAAATAAAATTATTCTTAAGCAATCTCTTGTATGTTTGACAATTTATGTTGGTTGACAATGAAAAAAAAATGAAGGACGGACGTCTTTCTCGCGTTTGGCTCGGGCTCGGTCGAGTGAAGTCGGACGAGTTCGGCTTGGCGAACGCGAGACAACGCGTCACCACAGATCAGATAGATATTATGTTTGTCTGATGCGTTCCGTATAGTATAGCGTTCCGTATAGTATAGAAGGAGATCTAATTTCCAATCCAATAGGCAGAAATGCACTCAGACGGCCCAGAAAAAAGTTGTGCAGTCAACCAAGATCCATCAAGATGCTAAAATTTGTAGCACTAAATAATGATAAGGGTTTTGTTGACTTTTAAATTCTGGGTAGTGGAATAACCCTCCATACTTCCATGGGGCAGGACAATAAGATTGAACTAGACACTCCACATGGTGAGTCAAGGTTATGGATCGCCCTTTTGATCTCGTACCCACCATAACCGTATTGAATGGAAACTTCGTAATACCATTAACGAATTAGTATTATTATTATCAACAAATTTTCCGGTTTCTATTTGGCATTAAAAATTAACGCTTTAATAACCGATCCGAATGTTTTTTCTGCAATTATTCCACCTCTTTCTCCGTAACCTACATCGAAGTATATTGGCTACATGAATACGTAATACCCCCACCCCCCTTCCTCCATCAATACATTCGCTAATAATTCCCCCGCGTTCTCCGATGATGGATTTTCAATTATTAAACAAGTACGAGTGTAAATGCAAGCTCGCGCCATTACGGCAAATTAATATTTAGCGCTACTATAAATAACTAGGAATTCCGTTCATATTTAAAAGCTCGACGCTTACATGTGTACGCGGCATGCATATGCATGTGTGTGCGAAACGCCAGAGCGCCACTTCCATATTATTATTAAAAAGCCTTTAGGAGGCGCGTTACGTAGTTTACCTTTTGGATTAATTATAACGAGGAAACGGTATTGTTTTGTTAATGGCGAGTCGTTGTTGTTTTGTTTGGGGAACGTGCACATATGGCGTAACACTCGTAAGTGTTTTACGATTTTCAACGCCAGCCGCCCGCACCGGTAATCGATTGAAACGGCGAGCGAGACGACGAATCGTTGCGATTAAATGAATCGATAATAATTCGCCGCGAGCCGTGCACGCAAAATATATTCTTTCATTGCAGTCGTTGATCATATTTGCTGCTGAGAAATAGAGGATATATTAAAGAAAAATAACAAACTTAAGAAGAAAGAAACGAAAAAAATATGCCTAAATCTTAAACGCCAAATGTTTTAATTTTTGGTGGGTTGATCGAAAAAAAATTAACAACTATCAACTAATAAAGGAATTATTAATTAATTATCAATGATAATTATAGAATAATAACAGTACTTTTTTCATTGTTACAGGTAGCATTTCAAATAAACGTTTAAAACGGGAATTAGTCCAATAAGAAGGTCTTAATGTCGCGTACTATCCCATGGAAACAGGTTAAAAGCCGAATTAGCCAAAGGCCACCATATATAACGTTTTAATGAGGAATGTTGCAAAATGGGCGTCATAAAAAGTGCTAATTGCGGCTATTTAAAGAGTGATGATTATAAGAATATAATTGAATGTGTTAAAAAGGCCTCTAAAAGTGTTCAATAAAATTGTTAAAAAGCAGTATATTTCATTTGAAATAAATTTGTAGTTTTTAAATGATATTTTTTTTGTTTTGTTAGTTTTGATTAATGTTAGTTAATAAATCTACAAACGATTATAAATGCGATGTCAATTAACTGTAAAATATTATTTGACTAATTCACCAATTATTCAAGTGTTAACAGATGTAGCAAATCATATTTAGCGCTTTCGAACCGGATAATAAAATCAATCAGGACTGACAAAGCACCTGACAACACAACACAAAACACAACCAGACACAAAACAATAGCAGAAGTAAAAGCAAAATATAAATCCCTAGAATTGCCCAGATCCGACTAGTCCACAGGACAAACAAGCCTCACCCATATACTTTTTCTATCAGAGTATAACCAAAAATCAGTTAATCATAGGAATGATCTTGTATGGTATAGAAAATATCAAAAATTTCAACAAATTTGCATCACAAAGTAGGGGTTTAAGTTTTTTATCATCAAGATTTAGGGGTGGCAGTAAAATGAAAAGCAACTTTGGACTTTGCACTGAGAAAATACGATTTTTTAAATAGAATTTTAGTGAATCAACGAATCATTAAGACCGCAACTTTATTCCTAGGGTCTTATATTTCAGAGGAACAAGAGTAATAAATTTTAAATGTAACGTTGGTGTTCATGTACTTTTAGAATGCAATCTGTGTGTTAAGGGCATCATTTTCTTCTAAACTACGACCCACACACTGTTCTACATCTAGTAGCTTCAATTGAAAATTAGCAAAAGGAAATTAGATTCTTGTTATATTATACGTTCCGGTTTTCGCGATTATTTGGGTTATTTAAAATAACTGCAAAAGTATTTAAAAGTAAGTATTGTCCAGAAAATATAATAAAATTTGCCAAAATACAAAGATAAATAAAAAAAATTAATAATTCGAAAGGCATCGCAAATTCTCACAGTAACGTATTGTTATTATTAATAATAGAGAAATTCAAAAGGCCATTGTCTATAAAACCAATTGAATAAAACTCTGAAAAATGCATCGCGCGAATCTATTAAAAATGGAGGCGAAGTCCGAGGCAAAAATTATATTTGCCCGATGAATTTAACATGGCGTATGTTGTCCGCCATTTTTAACGTTTATTAAAGTAACAATGGCCGGGCGACCAATTATTCTCCGAAAGATGAATACGTAATCGAAAAAAGGCGGCAATTTGAACACTATCCACACAAAAGGATCATAAAATATTTAAAGAGTTCCATGGTCGGGTTTAAAACGAGCCGTTTTTTCTTTTTTTGCAAAATGTAGGTCAAATCTATTTCTCGGCGCCCACGCTGCGTTCGTTTTTGCTTGAATATTGAATCGGTCCAAATTACCCGTGATTATTCTATTTGATGTTTTGGCGCGACTTTTAAAGAGTCACACGCCATTTGTGTTTCTAAACGGTAGTTTTTAATTAGAGTTGGATGAGGTTTACTTGTCGCTTTCAGTTTACACAAACACAAAATAAATGATCTGCATATTGTTTACAAGTTGACGCACAATGTTTCAAAGCCAAAGTGAGCCAATACATCTTAAGTTATATGGATCATGTAAGGCATTGCTTTAAGTATTGATAGACTCCAAACGTTTTGTACTCTGAATAATCTGTTTTTGAACATAAATAAATGGCAAACTATTGCTTTTGCCAGAAACAAATCAGTAGTAATTTTAATTACAAAATATTTAACCAGTAGACCACATCAAGCGCCTGGAAATTATTATTAATTCCAAACTAGTTAGGTTACGTAGTTAGGTTATTTGGTTATATTGCTAGAAAATGTGCAGTTAACAAAAATATTAAGACTATTGATTGCTTATTTTACGGCTTTGTTCTCGGCAAACCGATAGCACGGGGTCTATAGAGATCGCTTGGAAAGGGATCAAAGTAAATTACAAAAATTTATCTCATTTAAGAAACATTTCATGTTCCAAAAACGTGAAAACTTTATTATTATGTCAACTATTTGGGGAAGGCGGAGGACACAACTTTTCTTTATAAAATTGAAAATTGCTGCTATGATGCTCTCTCCATTTTGGCAAATATTCAATCAAATGTTCTCTTACAAGATTAACTCTGTACAAAATTATCCACTCTTTAGAATAGCGAGAATTTGAAATGTGATACATAAGACCATATATTTTTTCTCAATACTTTCAAAAGACTTTTGTTTGTTTTACAAAACCTTCCTGATAATCTATAAACATGGTTTGTGCTATTTTTTGGTTCATTGTTGATTGAATGAATTAAAAATAAATAGTATGAACGCTATAAAATGTTTTTTTACTCTCCATTCTCAAAGTTAACGTAAGTAAAACGTAGAAAACTTACCACAAAGGATAAACAAAGCAATCATTAACATATTTAAATCAAAATTTGGCTTGTTATTTTTTTTATGAATTAGAATATGACTCAAAATATGTAAAAGATTCCGCATTAATTTTTGCTATAATCTAACTTTATAAAATATTTCAAATTAATACAGTATGTATGTTTCCAATCAACCAATCAATTTATATACTTTTTAAGAATTTTCCAAAGCGATGGAAGCGCTCTGTAGGCAAACATTTGTGCTCAGTCGGATGGCAGTGAGGCAACCGTGCCGACCACCTCTTCGCATCATGCGATATATTTCAAGAATTATGATCAGTTCATTACTATAAATGCACTTACGTTAATAACCCAATCTTTCGGATTGTGTGCGTTTGTCCCGCATACGTAGAGTCGTTCTCCATCTCCCATTGATTGGATGACACGAACGTGATTTCGACAGTCGAAGTGCTGAAAATTGAAAAATATTTGATCAGTATTAGAAAATAAAACTTATAAATTTGTTGGGTCATCACACAAACGTGATTATCAACAGTTACCACAAGTACGTATTATGGGGTATATTCAATTTAGTCAGATCAATTTATTGGTCCAAATATTGCAACTGTTATGCAGTAGTCGTTATATCTTCCAAATTCATGAACAAAAAGATTTAATTTTCAGTTAAGTATGAAATCCCCAAAAACCCATTGAAAAGATACAACAATAATTAGTTTATACACACACAAGATACACATACATACACCACCTTAAGTTAATACATACATATTCTAAAATTAATAACAGTAACTTATGTTATCATAAACTAATTTTTGTAGTGCTCTATACGTTACCCGGTCCAGAAGGTACAGGACTCTTGTCTAAAGTTAATTTATGGAGTGAGGAAAAGAGATCCGCTATGCATCTGCCATTACCTTGCTATCGCTGATTGGCAAAACATGCTCCTCTTATGAAAATTACTAATTAACAGGTCATTAAAAGTAAAATGTCCTTTTATCTTTATAGAAAAATTAACTTCAACACATCAATACAGAATTTGATAAAACGTGGAAAACCTCGATTTGTAATCTTCCATTATCGCAAAGAATTATATATTTCAAAGATCATATTAGTATAATATAGCCGTTTGTATGAACTATAACAACTAAATAACTCAAATATTTATAAATTAATATCATAAAATCGCTGTTGTAATCGGCAATATTATTACCTTATTTTTGTTGCCTTTATGTAATGTAATTTTGATGGTTGTAACAATAAATATATTATTATTATTATTATTTTCTGCTCGGTAGAGACTACAGGGACAATACTTTTCGGACAATTGGATAGCTGCCTAGAATTGCCACCTTCTGGGCTTCGATCTGGTAAGTATAGTCTAACTTGAAATGTTTGAGATGTTTCGCTTTTGTGTACAATCCCGTTAGTTGAAATAATGAAAGGCAGAGTATGGACCATTTTTAAGTTGTATAGTACTTTTAGTTCGTAGGAAAACATCCAGAGGCACGGCTATATCAATAACGTATCCCTCGCGCTGTGCTTTGTTGATAATAATAATAATAATAATAATAATAATAATATTATTATTATTATTATTATTATTATTCGAGCCAGGAAGTGAGTCACTGGTCGGTACAGCCGTGTTTCCGAAATAGACCAAAAGACCCCAGGAATACCGCCTTCTGCATTTTGCCCAACAACACTTTCGTAGTTGCGCGGCACGCCGGTATTTGGTGTAGTTCTCGTGCTGTGCTAGCATGTATTCCTCCCATGCAACCAATGATCAAAACCACAAGTTTCTCTGTGTGCCCAGCATAAATTTGTCTAAGGTCTTCTAGCAGCTATTGAATATTTTGGTTTCTTTTCCTGCTCCTTGTTTGCTATGTTTTGATCACCAGGGGCCGAAAATTCAATCACGAATAATTGCTTCGCTCGATGATCCATTATTATTATTATTATTATTATTATTATTATTATTATTGATATTATTATTTCACACTTATCAGGTGGCTGTTTCAGTTTGTTGCCAGAAGTTGTGACTTCAAGGTAAAGGGGGTAGCAATGTGTTCCCCGGACTCTTCAAAGGGGTTTATTAATTTTGCATGTAGAAACCATTTGCAGAAATTTAATCTGTATATTTCTTAAATTCCATAGGTTTCTGATCTTTTCCACTAATGGTCAGAGTTTTTTTCTTTATAGGATTTTCCTAGATTTTCGTCAAGCGGTACTGAGAAGTCAATTATTGTGGCCGATTTGACATTTTTGTCCAGCACGATCATATCTGACTTGTTATGTTGCACTTCTCGATCTGTTATTATTGAGGTATCCCAGTAGGCTTTGTGTTGTTCATTTTCAACAATGTTTATATTTATATGATGATGTTTTTTTCGTTTTTAGTAGTTAAATGATAGCGAGGTGTACAATGAGTGTTCTGAACGTCCATTTTCAGTATGTGCTTTTGGTGGCATCGAGTGGCACCCACATAATCCTGAATTGCATGCAATGAACTTTCAGTCTCCGAAAGTAAGTATCTATATGTGAGGTAAGTATTCGATAATTTAAAATCTGCATCTTATTGGTGTAGTGAGTTGTAATATCAGCCATGCAAAACTTTTTCTTGTTCCCGTCGGCGAGGTTTCAAGCGGAGTATCTACTGTCAACCACGACCAGACACCGGAAAATAGGTACATTTTATTTTTAAAGTATTTTCATGGAGTTTGTGGCTCATCAAATAGCACGCTCTCCATATTGAATAGGCCGCGGCAGCCTTCTTTTCTAGCTATGTATAGTAGTTCAACCGTAGATTGATGGGTATTCGAAATTTGGTAAGCGTTGTTCGTACCTGTCCATCTAAATGTTGTATTTCTGTTTTTGTCCAGTCTATTACGCCAAATGAGTAGGAGGCTCCTGGTATTACTCATCCGTCAATGGCATGGATTTTATTTATAGAGTTCAGTTGTGTTTTTTTTTTATCAAGAACGTATTCATTGTCACTCTTTTTTAACATAGCACTTAAGGAGTTAAGCGCTAGACAGGACTATGTTGGAATTGGACTATTGCCTTTGAAAATACCTCCATTGATTTTAATCTCATCTGTTCTGTAGGCTTGAAGTTTAAGTAATTATTATTAATTATTTTGTTTTTACGTTACACACGGACCTATTTTAAGAGAAATTCGGTGTTCCTACATTTAACTTACGCTGCGGTATTGCTGAATCAATTGTTTGAACTGAACTGAACTGAATTGATAAAGTGCTCATTTCTTAGAGAATTGAATTAATAATCTGGCAAGAAAGGGTATCAGAAAATAAGGCATCTTTCATGATGCGAAGAAAGCTCATCCAAAATCTATTTTGGTCTCGTTTAAGCTTGCACGTCGATACGCCAAAATCCAATGGTTATGGATCTACCAACGACGGCAACAGGGGCAGGAAAGCTTTTCCCAATTGTCAAGAATTTGCAGAGATAACAGGTGTTTCTTACAGTGTGATATATCGTTTCTGGATTATTCTTATCGCTATCAATTGTCAGCTTCCAATAAACTTATCTAAGTGTGAAGCGTACTGTTTCGAGGCTGGCCACATTTTCATGGAAACATATCTATAGTTTCCAATGCCTGCCACAATTCACAAAATTATTGTACATAGTAAACAAATCATTGAAAACCATGTGTTGGCGATAGGTTTCTTTGTTGAGGAAGCTTCGGAGTTAAGAAGTAAGATGTACAAATCAAAATTGAAAATAAAATAGCTGCAGCCTGAAGTTCAAGATTTATTGAATCCCTATGAATTCAGTCTTGATGATGGTAAATTAGAAGATTTAGATGGGGAGTCGTCGAAAGTAGATAATTTTTTGGATTCCTTAGAATTGGATAACTTAAAGTTGGGCAGTAAACATTTGTGAAGTAGGTAAAATTGTAAATACACCTATATGTAATTTTTCTTTCAAAGGTAGTGTTTTGGTGCCCGAATGATTTTTCAAATGCAAGCAAATGCAATGCAATTTTATAAAAGTGTTACACAATATTTTCTTCTCAAATTTAGTTAACTGATGATACACGACGATGCACGTTCTACTAGATTCACAGATTAGTATTATATTAGTTTATTTTTTTAATCAAGTTCAGTCTCTTAATAGAGGTTTATTCAAAGGAGTACGTGTACCATTCTGGGATACATATGCGCCTATAAAAAGTATCCTTGGAGTAACAGTAACAATTAAAACACGTTGTGGTGGTGTGGGTGAATTTTGAATATTCGAGTCCCATAGTTACCAGCAAATAGAAAGATCGTCCATTAAATATAGTAGCTTGTTTTTCATATAACTCCCCTTTATTCGTAAAACAGTTTCAAAAGCACGACCCTCGTTCAATTATTAAATTAAAAAGTTCATGACGCACGACTTCCTAGTCGCGTAGCATTACAGTCTGGAACTTCTGGGGTAATAAATAACTCGGATGCTGATTCGTATCAAATTCGATGTCGGGCATACACATACACACAACCAGACACACATACATGTATATGAACTGGTACGCGGATGGTTTTATATGAAGTTATCCCGGAATATAAAATAGGCCCGTATGTAAAATTGTCACGTTACAAGTTAAAATTTATAGAACAAGTGGATAACCGGAGTAACTTTTCATGCAACGGGATTCGCGAGATTAAATTAGATGCCCGTGGGTTTAATGGCCTCGAAACCACCATGTTACGAAGTTCTCGGCAATTTGAAAAATTAGGGTTACCTGACTTTTCCGAAGTTTTCAGTGACTTGAACGTGACATTTTTGGCTTGTAGAAGCAAAGAAATCGTCAAATTTCACGAATTTAATAAACAAAATTAACTTAAGTTACAGGCCCGTTAAAAACTTGTACATTTTATGGAGCTAAATCACGCTATTACAATGAAAGAACTGCTTTTCCTGCTATATCATTTATTCATTTATTATTATTTTTCATATTAACGATAATTTTGTATTATAACAATATGTTTTTTACAAGGTCTTGATAGCTGGAATTTGTCAAAAATCTTTTTTTTAAAGGTTAACTTAGTCTAAATTTGTTATGATTAAAATGTTTTATTTGGTTGTACACAATAGTAAGTAATAACAGTAGTGATTTGTAAGATTGAACAAGTATATTAGTAAATATGAAATGGCGAGGTTAAAAAAATACAAAAATGAAATGAATGCAATTTTTTAAAAAATGTGAATGAAATGAAATTTTAGGCACAATTGTGTTTATTTTTAAAATTTTTGTTACTAATAAAAATATTATTTTTTTAACGATTTAATCCCAAATAGAGAGAATAGAGAGAAAGACAGAAGTATAACAGCTAGAACCATTCAATCAAATCAGAATTCTAGTAAGGGGTGAATAAACTTTATTAATTTGCACGATGGTAGGGTATGCGGAACATTGAGTTTTCACAACTTCTGTAATTTGCGTT